CACACACACACACACACACACACACACACACACACACACACACACCCCTGCTTCAAAGAGGATTTTTAAAAACAATGGTGGCTGGGCTAGAAAAGATACTAATTTTCAACCTTTATTTCAAAGTTTATTTATTTATAAAGGAAATACAGAATAATTTTGATAAACAAAGCACCCAATTCCTACTTATGTTTTTTTCTTCGTGGAAAAAAAGTATGTGACACATACTTGTCATGCCCTGTATTAAGCTTACAAAAGATATTGACAAAAACTATACAAATCTAGATTTTAGAGTGCTAGGAAAGTTGCCATAAGGCATGTGTACCTACATTAATACTAAATAAATTCCACCTACATCCTTTCTTTCACCCTTTCCCAGTATTTTTCAGCTTTCCTCACAGTCCCAGAAGTCTAGGGGTAATGACTCTCCATCACTAGTGCTGTGATGGCACCTGTGCTCCCACATCCTGATATCCTATCCCTACGGTAATCCGTTGAGACGCACCTGAAAACACCAGTGACATAACTTAACGGATTCCTAGAAGGAACAGTACCTGGCATGCTGCCTCAGCTCCTACCGAGAGGGGAGGTTGAAAATTCTCCCAGTCTCCATTCACTCCTTTGCTTTGATACCCGTTAGGCCTGCTTTGTCTCCTTAATAGACTCCTGGAAAGGGAAGGGGTGGGGGTGGGGAGCGACCGGAGAACTCTTTTCCTAGGATGACTGGAGCCAGGAAGTCAGTCTGGGAACTTCCTCGCCCCCTGGCGGTGCACAGCACACAAGGCCGCCTGTGTTCCGCTCAGGGGTGGGACTCTCAATTTGCAGCCCAGGTGAAGGGAGATGAGTTGGGCAAACAGCGATTCTGTGCATTGGAACAGTCTGGGTGGTAACTGCAGGCCACTGCCTCTGACCTGTTGGCATCCGAGGTCTGATGACCTTCAGGTAAATGCTCTCATGATCAATGGACCAAAGGAGCAACGGTGGAGGTGAGGAACAGCACTCTACCAATGAAGGTCGTGACCAGGCCATGTTAATTTAGTGGTAAAAATAATAACATTAAAGAAAATGTTTACAACAGGAATAGAAAGTGACAGAACCTTACTGCTTTAACTCAAGTGTATCACAATCTCTGCCTTCATCCACTTGAGACTTAAAGCTCAGTGTCTGCTATTTTTATTTAACATTATCCCAAGCAATATAACGTGAAAGTTATGACCAGGATGGAAGCAGGGTTGTACCTCTGCAGGGTCCTTGTCTGGGGACCACCCCTCCTACAAGCTTCTGGTTAATAGAGGTAAGGGGGCTCCTGTGGTGGGTGCCAGTGCTGGAACCTTAACTTATGTGTATCTGGGCTATAGCCCTGGACTTGGCTAGGCTGGGCTGTGTGAAAATTCCAAGAATTCTGTTGGTAGAAAATGCCCACCCTATCCTTACAGGAACAGCACAAGGCTAGGCTGGTCTACCTCCCACCAGGACCTCGAAGGAACATGACCCAGGGGCTGAAGGATGGTGTTGAAGGATGAGTTTTACTCAGATCCTTCTCAGCCCTGCCTTCCCCAAGTTTCTGTATCCACTACACTGGAAGCTTTCTGAAAAAAATGCCTGAAACCTGTCCATTGTACCGCTAGGCCAGGGCCCAGCCAAAGAACTTAACAAATAACAGTCAAGGAAATCCTCACCTAAAATGGCTGCGATGCATTACTGCTCCCACCTCAGGCCTACAGTGTCACTTCTGCACTTGAAACCACCAGGGGGCAGTCTGGGTTCACTACGAGACATTTCCTTCTAGAGAAAATCACACCTGCAAAGACCCTCTCCAGAGCCACAGCCCACCTCCACACCCTCCACGCCACCATCCATTCCCTGTGAATATGCTTTGGGCTGAAAATGGTTGGGAGGAGGGCGATGGAAGTCATCTGCATTATTTTGGCATTGACCAGGGCCTCTTGAGTCCTTCAAATTCAACAATTTACCACAGGCACGAGTGCGGTGGCTCACGCCTCTAATCCCAGCAATTTGGGAGGCCAAGGCAAGCAATCATCTGAGGTCATGAGTTCAAGACCAGCCTGACCAATATAGTGAAACCCCCATCTCTACTAAAAATACATAAATTAGATGGACGTGGTGGTTCGTGCCTGTAATTCCAGTTACTCAGGAGGCTGATGGATGAGAATCACTTGAACCCAGGAGGCAGAGGCTGCAGTGAGCCAAGACTGTGCCACTGCACTGTCAGCCTAGGTGACAGAGTGAGACTCTGTCTCAAAAACAAAAACATAAAAAAAAAACCTCACTGACCACAGTGCCTAGAGAACAATATGTGTTTAATAATATTTACATAATGGTTGTATGAAATTGAAGCAGCAAGAAACCCAAAGGAGAATAGCTCTAGGGGAGGGATGTGGATAAGTATGCATGGGGGAGAGGCTATTCTATGACCAGGTTGGGTCTGGAGCCCTCCCCACTGTCCAGAACGCCTCCAAGCCCCTACATTTTTCGATATACCAACGCCTTGGAGATATAATGCAGAAATAAAGTGAGCAGGCTGAGGATTAGGGCAGGTGTCTGGAATATGTTCAGGAGTGGGAGGGGAGTGACATAGCTCACAGGCTAAGCAGAGTAGCACAAAGGCTAGAGGTTTTATTCCCAGCCCTCAACTTAAAAGACCTCAGGGGCAGATACTGACTCCAGCCTGGCTGTGCCCTTACCCTAAGGCCATTCACACTTTTTTTTTTTTTTTTTTTTAAAACACAGGTAATCCATGTTTATTATAGAAAAATGCCACATTACTCTTTATTGGATGTGAGCGCCAGCACCAGCCCCTTTCTCTCCAAGCACAGGGGCACGCAGGCAAGGGGCTCCGTCCCCCGGCCGGGATGCAGTGGAAGCCTGGCTCCACTACCATTCTCCTAGAGCCAGCACCCTCCGCGGTGCCTGGGGCTCAGGTCTGTTCAAACTCCTGCTCACAGTAGCCTACATGGAGGGGTTGGGCCTGGACACCTCGCCTGCAGGAGGACATGAAGAAATGGCAAGATAAGCCCCTCAGAAGGGGCCCCAGCAACACTTTTCACACCCGTCAACAGTCTCTCCTTCCCCATTTTGGTGACTCTCAAACTGTCACTGTACACCAGGTGTACCTGGGGATCTCAATTCCACAGATTCTCACTTGGGGTGGGGCAAAGTATGGGCAAGAATCTGCAAGCTGAACAGGTGCCTCATGTGATTTTGATACAGGTCTTGGAGATCCAGAAATGTTGGCAACAACTATTTCTATCCTGCCTATCTCGTACCCTAACCCCAAATAACTCAATCCCTTTGGAAAATAGGTAGATGTCTGAAAGGCAGCCAATGCTCCTGGCCTACTTAGCCCTCTGTTCCTGATTCTAAAACGCTGTAAATGTGGTAGCATTGGGGGACTTAGGTGCTGTCCTGTCCACGAATATGGACGTGAAATCCTGTCCTTGGGTCTCAGACTATAACCTGACCAATCTCCTTAGGGGACATCTAGGCATGCTTCCCTTATTATCCAAGTAAGCAACATGCTTAGAGAACCAGCTGGAAGTCACCCAGTGAACGACATAGTTAAGGCTTAGATGTTACCATGCTTGACTCTCAGCCCAGGACTCTGCTCTGCATTAGGCTATGTCCCCCAAGTTCTCAAGACCTAGCCAACGAAGGAATCAGGGAAATGACTATCTTACACAGGCACATCCCTGACAGAGGCAAAGGTGTCATGAGATCCTGTAAGTCAGCCTGGTTCAAATCCTGCTTCTTAGTGACTTTGGGCAAGGTACTGAACTTCTGTGCTTCAGTGTCTATCTCTAAACTGGGGACAAAAATGCACCTATCTTATGGGGTTGTGGTGAAGACTAAATGAGACAATATGTGTAACAAACTTAGCACAGTGTTTGCCACAAAATACAGTTGTCCCTCAGTATCCACAGGGGATTTGTTTCAGGACCCCCATGGATACCAAAATCCAAGGATGCTCAAGTCCCTTATATAAAAATGACATAGTATTTGCATATAACCAATGTACAACTTCCCATATACTTGAAATGATCTTGGATTACATATGCCTAATACATATAAATGCTATGTAAATAGTTGTTATACAGTATTTTTTATGTGTATTTTTTTGTTGTTGTATTTTTTTTCCTGAATACTTTTTATCGCAGTTGGTGGAATCCATGGATGAGGGCCGACTATAAGCCTCCGTAAGTGTTAGCTATTGTTATTATTCTCTTCCTCTCTCTAAGGGGTTCCCCAGCCCTGGATCTGCCCTACCCTGCCTTGCGAAGGCCCCACAGCTTGCTTACCTCAGCAACTCACAGCGGAAGTGTGACAAACGTTCATAGGCAAATGTCAGGTCAGATGTCAACTTGTTGCTCCACAGCCTTTCGGCAACAGCCCCTGCTCTGGGCCTGGAGGAAAGGGGGCATGTGCCAGATTGGGCTCTGTATTCCCTGCAAAGGTGCTGGACATCCATAGGCTGCTACCTCTTGTCTAAGTGCCCTGGACTAGCTCAGGCCAAAGGAAGTGATCAATACCTTGTTATGAGCTACAGTCAGGTTAGATGGCTCCCAGAAAGTTCTAGGGCTCAGCTACACCTTCATTAAAATGTCGGTAGCAATCCCACTCTCTTCCTCTCTCAAAGATACGGGAATAAGAATAAACCTTAAAGGCATCATTAACCACAATGACAGTGACAGCAGCAGATGTCCTTAAAATGTAAACTCTGCACAACCAACCACACTTGGTAAGGCTGCAGTGAAAAGAGCAGAGGGAAGCCTTATTACAGGAATCATGGATGCTTGTGCTGGATCCTGAGCAAGTCACCGATGTTCTCCAGGCCTCATTATCTCTCTGGGAAGTGAGGTTAACAATCCCTATCCCACATACCTAATGGGTGGCTGGAGGGATATAGATGGAAGTCATGTGGAGAGTGAATATTGCACACAAATCTTCAGAAGGCTCGTTGTACGGCCTGCTCTCTCTCAGGCCTGAAAGGAGTGTACTAGTCCAGAGGTGGCTAGATGGGATTGGGTCTGTAAGGGAGAACCCCTGCTCTCAGGTCCAACCTTCCACCTTCCCCCGAAAACCCTTACCAGAGCCTGGGGACCAGGTTTGTGTTGTCCACATATTCTCCCCACATACAAGCCTCTCCACCAATCACGAGAGCCTTCTGCTCAGGGGTACCTGAGGGAAAACAAGCAACAACAGTCTGGTGATGGTGGGTAACTCTAGGGTCCCTCTCAACCACCTTCACAATGTGGCCCTCACCCCAGCTAAGTTGTTTCATTCACTAATCGGAAATGTCTGGCCCAGATCTTCCTGCCTCCCATCCTGTGCCCCAGCCCAGCCTCCTCTGGTTAGCAAGGAGAGCTCTCTGCTTTCACCTTCAAATGCCAGGGGTTCCACTATGTAGAAATCCTTCCAGTCAGGGCCGTAGGATATACGGTTCAGGTACCAGGGGGCGGAGAGAAGGGCCCGGAAGCCGGCCTTGGTGACCAGTTCCAGCTCCTTCATATAGTTCACTGGAATCTCTTCTCGCCACACCTGTATGATTGTGTCTGGTCGAATCTGTTATAAAAGGTCAAATGGCAGTAAGGACACAAAGTTGAGGAGATTCCTGGGCCTTATTCATACACAGGCAACGTGGGACAACAGGTGTGTGCTCCCTCTGTTCCCCAGCAGCAAAGTATGTCTCTGTGACTCCTGACCATTGAGCTCACACCTCAGGACAGAGGCCAAGGAACCCAGGGCCCTAAAAGGCCTCCCTGCAGCTCCCCTCTCCGTCCCTCTGCAACCTCCCTGTCCACACAGTAATACCAGCTGTGAGCTGAGGGCGGCAAGCAGGGGGACCCCGGAGCTGCCATGTCCAAAAGTCTCCAGATGATTCTGGGAATGGGACAAGGCTCCTGAAGAGTCCTTGCATGTGACAGGAGTGGGATCTTACTGATCAACAATAAAGGAGAAGGTAGCCTTGGTCCCACAGACCCAGAAGACCCTAATCTATGATTTAGGAAGAAAAATCCAGCCTATCCAAGTAACCTAGCAGCAGAAATAGGTTTTTTTTTTTGGGATGGAGTCTTGCTCTGTCACCCAGGCTGGAGTGCAATGGCACGATCTCCGCTCACTGCAAGCTCCGCCTCCTGGGTTCACGCCATTCTCCTGCCTCAGCCTCCCGAGTAGCTGGGACTACAGGCGCCCGCCACCACGCCCGGCTAATTTTTTGTATTTTTTTTTAGTAGAGACGGGGTTTCACCATGTTAGCCAGGATGGTCTCGATCTCCTGACCTTGTGATCCGCCCACCTCGGCCTCCCAAAGTGGTGGGATTATAGGCGTGAGCCACCACACCCAGCCCAGAAATAGCTCTTAATCAGGTTTGTAGTGAGGGAAGACAGAAACTCTGACACATAAACCCAGGGCTCATACCACAGCGGCCTTTGGTTTTTTTGAGACAGGGTCTCACTCTGTTGCCCAGGAGTGGAGTGCAGTGGCACATTTGGGCTCACAGCAACCTGTGCCTCCTGGGCTCAAGCAGTACCCCCACCTCAGCCTCCTGATTTTTGTATTTTTTGTAGAGACGAGGGTTTCGTTATGTCGGCCAGGCTGGTCTCGAACTCCTACGCTCAAGCAATCCACCTGCCTTGGCCAACCAAAGTGCTTGGATTACAGGCGTGAGCCACTGCACCCAGCACTCTGTGGCCTTTCTAGAGAGAACAGGAGAGTGCTCTGACCATTAAAGCCCAATCCAAACCAGGAGGTTCAGTCTCTGTAGAGGCAGGAAGGAGCTGGGGAGACCAGAGGGAGGCACCGCTGGTGGCTTCTTCTCTTCTCTGCCCCGGCTCACCTTTACTTTATTATCAAACACCTCCTGCCACACCACATAGCCCTTGCCATAAGAAGAGACGATGTCCAGCAGCCTGGAGAGGAGAGGAGTGTCTCGTAAGTGTCTGCTTAGCTCAGACGGGCTCTAGACTGTTTGTGCCAGTGCTCTAGGGGTTGAGCCTGGCCAGGGGCCTATTCCTCATTAAGCAGTGTCTTTCCCCAGGGTGGGAAACTGACCACTCCAAACCTGAAAGGATGGGAAAAAGGACAAGGGAACCCTGCAGGGGCCAGACAGTGGCCAAGCAGGGCCTGACTCCAGTATGGAAAGGGAGGACCCCACAGGAGGACCCCCAAGGGACCCCACCCGCCCTCCTTCCCTTCTCACGTCTGGATGTAGAAGGACTCCAACTGCTTGAAGTCCTCACCGAAACCTTTCTTCCTCATAAAGTCTTGGATATCTGGGTTGGACTTCCTGAATCCCAAGAGAAAATGAAGATTAATATTTCAACATCCTGAAAGCCTAATGCCTGGGGATTAGTCACCTGGCCCCCTATAACTTCCTTTTTTCACCTGAAAAATCAAATAAGCAAGGATCTCAGAAGCCCTACATGTAGAAAGTGTGGCCAAGCAAAGTTATGTGAAGCAGGTGAGCTGTTGACACAGGCTGAGAAAGGCTGAGTCTGGACCTGAAGAGTTTTAAGTTCAAACTCCCAAAGAGAAAACATGTTAATCCTCTCCGGACTGCAACATGAGGATCCAAGGTCTTAACTTAAGAGCTCCAGCACACTGGATTCCGGCTTTCTCATCTGCTCTTCCAATTGGATGACAAGTCTTGCTGTCTATTACCTGCTGCAGATCCCTTGCGTTACAACGTCCACATTTTGCTGACATTGTTCTCCTTCTGGAATATTCTCCCTTGCTCACATCTCCAAAAAGCCAAATCATTTCCTCAGATTCAGCTCTGGCGCCCTCTTCTCAAAGAAGCCCCTCAGCCTCTTTTGAGCTCACCAGAACCAAGGGTTTGGACTTTACAACTGAATACTAATTAGACACTGTCATCTATTAGTCTTGAATTCTGTGTCTTGACTCTTCAACCAGACAATTTTAAGCCTTCATAAACAGGGATTATTTTTCTCTATCCTGAACTTTTCTAACACAATTCTGTGTCCAGGGCTGGTTTTTCTATCAATACCTCAAGGATATGAGAGTAGGAAGGAAGAGGTTCACAGTGAACGCCTTGCCCAAATCAGGTAGGATCTCTACGTAGATGGGCAGAGGAAGGCCTAAGACCTGAGCAATGTGAGTCCATATAGACCACTGAGAGCAGCAGCTGAGCTAAGTGGCCCCTCGGGGGCTAACCTCTATTCTGAGTAAGCAACTGATCAGGCCACAAAGGGAAGATCAAAGGGCTCATACCAGCAGGTGAAATCAACCTCATCTCCTCCAAGATGAAGATAAAAATCTGGGAAGACAGAGCTGATCTCCAAGAAGAATGTGCTCATGAACTCATAGGTATTGTTGAGACTGGGATTCACTGGTCCAAAGGTGCCAGAGGGCTCAGACCCAGAGTAGCAAGGAGTCAGTAATCCAGGGATACCTAAGCCAACAGAAAACCCCATACGAGTGTCACAAATACATAAACCCCCAAGCACAGTCCTACACGTAAGGACACAAGTCACACAAAGTAAGACAACACATTTAGGTAGGCACACTCAGGCACTCACAGACACTGGTAGTCACCACCATTTAGTCGCAGTAAAAAGATACAAATATATCCACAATCATAGACAGGCAGAGGCTGAGTTTCAGCCAGACAACTGTCAGTGCACACACTCTTGCCTTGACACACTGCTTCTAGCAGGCACCACCCTTGCTCCCAAGGCTGCTCTCCTCACAGGCCTTTAGGCTGAGGGAGAGTCTAATCCAGCCAAACTGGCAAAATCTTTCTTCTCTATCTCCTCCTGCAGGTGGGGTCAACCATCACCCAGAATCTTTTTACATTTCCTAAGGAGTATCTCCCTTGGCCCAGAGACTACTTCCTGCTGCTGAGGTCACAAGATGTCTTCAGGGTTTTGTTGTTGTTGTTTGTTTGTTTCTGAGACAGAGTCTTGCTCTGTCACCCAGGCTGAAGTGCAGTGGCACGATCTTGGCTCACCGCAACCTCTGCCTCCTGGGTTCAAGCGATTCTCCTGCCTCAGCCTCCTGAGTAGCTGGGATTACAGGCGCCTGCCCCCACAACTGGCTAATTTTTGTAATTTTAGTAGAGATGGAGTTTCACCAGGCTGGCCAGGCTGGTTTTGAACTCCTCACCTCAGGCGATCCACCCGCTTTGGCCTCCCAAAGTGATAGGATTACAGGCGTGAGCTACCACGCCCGGCCAGTATCTTCAGTTTTCTATCAGGCCAGTAGCCCTTTTCAACCGTCATTTAACCTGCGTTGGGGACTCACACTGGAGGGCGGAGGGTATACAGAAGAAAGGGAGCAGGGGTAGTGACTGACTCTGACCTCTGCAGGCTGCCCTTGGGCTTCTTTCTTTCAGATTCTACCCTGGTGGTCAGATTCCTCAGCATCCACTCGAGGCAAAACTACCTGCAATGGCATCTGAGAAAAATGTGCCCTTACATAGTCTAACAGTACATATTTTAATAGTAAGAAGTGGCTTCCACTGCCCAAAGTGAGTTCTTCCTATCTAAATTCCCAGGTGGAAGAAGTTGATGGAAAACATTCTTCCAAGGACCAAGGCTGGAATATGCCACTTCCATGAGCCATTGCCCTGAAGCTTCACTCTGAGCATAATGAGCAGAGTCCCTCTGGCCGCAGACATCATTCTTACCTGGTCCCCAAGACAAAGTGTGGCCAGGAGTGTCAAACTCTGCAAGCACACGGATACCCCGGAGCCGTGCGTATTCAATGACCTCCTTCACATCCTGTGCTGTGTAAATGTGGGTGACAGGGTTGTAGGACCCCTGAAAGGCACAAGACACCCTTCAGGTTCACATTTCCTGAAAGCTAGCAGAGTAGAAGATACTCAAAATGCCCACAAGACTCCCCAGACATCAGAAAACCTGCCCATAGCCCTTTGGTATCAGGGACTATCTTCAAAAAACTTGATCATAATTTCCCAGAAGTTATCACATCTATTTTATCTGAGTATCATAATGCCAGTGAGATAATCATGGTAGGTATTAATATTATGTCCATTTAACAGAATATACATAAATAGAAAGGGAATAAGGCCAGAAGAGATTCTCTCCTGAAGGTCACAAGGAAAATTATTGGCAAAGTTTTGGACTTGAACTCAAGTCTTCTGACTCCAAATCCAGTGTCCTTCCCCTATATTGGTGTAAAACCGACTGGTTAGGATGAGAGACACTGTTCTTGCCAGGAGGGCCACAGCCAGATTCAGACACTGACCCATAAACTTGGTCTGAGTGAAATGGGGACATACCTTTCTCATGAGCTCTGGAAAAGTGAAGCTCTCATATGGGAAGGAAGGATCATCTACCAGATGCCAGTGGAACACGTTCAATTTATTGTACGCCATGACATCCTGTAGGTTAAAGTGCACACTGTGAACCCATCACAGTCTCTCCCGTTTCAGCCTCAAACTTGCAATGTTGGGCAGGCTCTCAGGCTGCTCCATACATCCCTACAGGCTTGACCTGCCTCAGCTCTCAATTAAGTGTCTATGGGGTCTCTCTATCAAACCTTCCCATCAGGGAGGGATGGCATGGAGGGAAGGCCTCGCACACTTCTACTCTTCCCAGAACACATCCAAAGATGGATGATAGAAGTGGTCTTTCCTCTTTTTGAAATAAATTCTGGCCACATTAAGAGGAGGGCTGCAGCTACTGTGGTACCCTGGAATCTTCCAAAAGCCTGAAGAGCAACACTTCCTCTTGCCATTTGTGTTGTCTGACTGATGTTAATCCCAACTGTGAGACCTCCTGGGAACTTAGTAGTCTCTTAACTCATAATCTCAGAGGCCAAGGCTGGCAGATGTGTTGCCTCCTTTGGTTCCGTCACAGGAGCAAAGGAAAAGGCAGACACAGGAACTGGATCGGGAACTGTCAGATAAGACTGCACATTAAAACTCAAGAGAGTTAGGAACCTCCTAGGTAAGGCTTTTTTTTTTTTTTTTGAGACATAGTCTTGCTCTGTCACCCAGACTGGAGTGCAGTGGCGCAATCTCAGCTCACTGTAACCTCCACCTCCCAGGTTCAAGGGCTTCTCGTGCCTCAGCCTCCTTCCTTCCTTCATTCATTTTATTATTTATTTTTGGGACAGGGTCTCTGTTGTCCAGGCTGGACGGCAGTGGTGCAATCACAGTTCATGCATCCTTGATCTCCCCAGGCTCAGGTGACCCTCCCACTGCAGCCTCCTGAGTAGCTGGGACTACAGGTTTGCGCCATCATGCCTGGCTAATTTTTTGTATTTTCAGTAGAGATGGGGTTTCACCGTGTTGGGCACACCAGTCTCGAACACCTGAGCTCAGGCAATCCACCCGCCTTGGCCTCCCAGAGTGCTAAGATTACAGGTATGAGCCACTGCACCCGGCCCAGAGGTAAGGCTTTGAACATCTCTCTCCTATGACCTTCTCCTAACTAAAGTTAGCTCTGCTGGCCAGGTGTGGTAACTCATGCCTGTAATCCTACCACTCTGGGAGGCCAAGGTGGGCAGATTGCTTGAGCCCAGGAGTTCAAGACCAGCCTGGGCAACACGATGAAACCCCAGCTCTACAAAAAAAAAAAAAAAAAAAATTGAGACCCTTTCTCAAAAACAAATAAATAAAGTTAGTTCTGCCAATGAAGCCAATTCCCCTAAACATTTGTATCCCTGGAAACAGCCTGAACATTGATCTACGGTAGCCTGTAAGGTAGATTTAAGTCACTCTTTATTTTTTGAGTCTTGGAGCAGCTCATCTTCTACATTTTTCCCAGGAGCTCATAGAGTTACACACATTCTCTCTTTTTTTTTTTTGAGATGGCGTCTCACTCTTTCACCCAGGCTGGAGTGCAGTGGCGTGATCTCCAACCACTGCAACCTCTACCTCTCGGGTTCAAGCGATTCTCCTGCCTCAGTCTCTCAGGTAGCTGGGATTACAAGGATGCGCCACCATGTCCAGCTAATTTTTGTATTTTTAGTAGAGACGGAGTTTCACCATGTTGGCCAGGCCGGCCTCGAACTTCTGACCTCAGGTGATCCGCCCACCTCGGCCTGCCAAAGTGTTGGGATTACAGGCGTGAGCCACCACGCCCAGTCCATACATTCTCTCTCTAACTCTTTAAGAATTTGGAACTTGGTCTGTCCGTTGCTCCATCACCCCAGAACTCTTAAGTGTGAAGAAGGCCTTCAGGCCTGGGTACCAGAGTGTCCAGGATGCTAGAGAGTGGTAGGTAATGGCGAGATGTATCCAACAGCAAGCCCCGGTGAGGAAAGCGGGGAAAGTCCTCGATCTCAGTCTTGTTGATAAAGAACTGTGCAGAATAAACATTGAACATGTCAGATTCAAAGGAAGCTTACTACGGGGGCACAGGGAGATGAAGATACCTCTCCCAGGATTCTTAAAAAGCCAATCTTTGACTGTTCTCAGGGTCACTGTCTCCCCAAATGCCCCCCACCTCTATAAATGACCATGAGCAGCCACCTTCCCATAGAGCAATTGTCCAACGCCGGCCTAATACAACTGTCCCATACACCACTCAGCCTAAAAATTCTGGATTTTCCTGTTAACACAGTTTATTTTCTTCAAAGCAGTGTGGCCTCAAGGTCTAAATGATGACTAAATGACTAAATGATGACTCAAGGGAACCAAATTACAGTGATTCCAAACAGACCAAATCTACCAAACCAGTTTTCCACTCACATCTCCTCTTCCATTTCTACTGGGGCTATCTCAAGTCACCAGGATCCTAAGGCAAAACAAGATTTTTCTAGGATTCTCAACATTGGGATCAAACCCCGGAGATGAAAAAGGAGCCCTTTTTGAGGGTCCACACTTACTGTGCCCTCAGCAGATTTCCAAACAAGCTGGCTAAAAGTCTCCAGACCTAGGAAGAAGTAGAGAGGCAGAGTCAAGACTCAGGGAGTGGAGAAAGAGGTGTATCTATTTGGAAGGTTCTCAATGTAGCAGAGCGTAATGTTTGGGTACACAGTGAAAATGGATGTAGTGTAGGCTTGACAATTTTTAACACCGATGAAAAGGGGATATTAGGAAGCCAGTATCCATCTTTACTCTGTATTTCATTTTGGGAGATGTCAGAGTAAGGGTTTTAGTGCCCCTTCTTACAACACACTAACTTTCAAAACCCATGTACCTCTCATCTATATTTCCTGTGCCTTGACAAGAATATTGAGAAGAGAGGCCAAGACATATACTCATGAGGACAGACACAGGGACAAGACAGCCTGCAAGGCTTTCCATAGTTAATCCCTATCAGGAGCTGACAGAGCTGAGAAAAGGGGTCCCAGAATAAATTGTGAGAAAGTGATCATAAGCTTGGGTTTCCAAGGAGCCTGGGTTCATGGCTGGACCTAGAAAATAAAAAAAAAAAAATCACCCACTCTTCCTCTTCAGAGACTGAGAAGAGACCCATCTATAGGGAGCTGAGGTGTGGTGGACAGCAACTGCCTCAGAAGGACTCCCCTAGTCCACTGACACTGTCTCCTAGAGTCTAGCAAGGCCCACACAGGTATGTTGAATCCAGAGCATTGTATGTTCTCAACAGCTGGGGACCCTCTTCTGGAAACACTGCAGAAACCCCATGAAAAATTATCAGAGTCCCCAATTTCAAAGTGAAAGAATCCATGAGACTTCAGCAGTCACTCAGCACCTGGTTTGAGCAGACTGCTAGTGTACTGTTTTGGCTTCTCCCCACTCTGACTCTGACACCCAGCATTCTGGAGTCCGAGGTCCTCCCTTACCATCGGCACCTGCACCAAAGGTACAAGAGGGCAGGAAGGGGAGGCAGCATGCTGTTGTTCCAAGCATAGAAGTGGGGAAAGGGAAGGAAGACAAACCAAAGCAAGGTGTGGAATTCCGAGAGAATTTCCCTCATCATTCACCAGCAGAGGGTTTACCAAAAGTGGGAGAGGTACTTGGCTAAGTCTGTATCTAAGCACCAAATACCTTCTCAGTAAACCCAGAGGAAGGGCAAGGGCTGACAGTTTAGCCAGTAAACTCATTTTCTCCAGAAATAATGTAGTTCTAAATATTTCACTACTATTTATCTTTTCTCTTGCATGTATCTATTTCTTTTGTTATAGTTTTCCTTTTAAAAAATACCTTTCCAATTACATGTCTTTAGCAAGAGCTGGACGGGCAATGTCTGTGGTAGCATCATTCCCCCTGTCCCCCAGCTACCTGTCCCCTGCTGGCACCTAGAGCATCAGCCCGCAGACTCTCACACTGCTTCCCAGAGCCCCTGACTAGGGCAGCAGCAGCAGCAGCTGCTGATGCTGCACAGGGTAAAACCTGTCAACCTCCAGGGACAGCTCCACAGCGATGGGAAAACACGCCAACTGTTCCCATAAAGAAAGCTTCCTGGCTGGGCGAGGTGGCACACACCTGTAATCCCAGAACTTTGGGAGGCCGAGATGGGTGGATCACTTGAACTCAGGAGTTCAAAACTGGCCTGGGTAATATGGTGAAATCCCATCTCTACTAAAAATATAAGAATTAGCTGGGCGTGGTGGCAGGCACTTATAATCCCACTACTTGGGAGGCTAAAGAGGGAAGATTGCTTAAGCCTAGGAGGCAGAGGTTGCAGTGAGCAGGGACTGGGCTACTGAACTCCACCAACACCAACCTTCCCACATCATCCTTTCTCTCTCTCTTTTAATTTGTTACCTCGGAGAGCTCCCCAGACAGTCTCAGAGAGGAGTAAACACTGGTCATCATTTATGGTCAGGGTATCTGAAATGACAGAAATGAACTCATTTAGTTGGTTAAGGTTTTCTATTCTCAGATTATAGACCAGATACTCTATAAATCATTGGATTAAAAAAAAAAAACAGTAAGACCATATATTTTTAAAAATCTTTCAATGAGGAGATGTCCCCAGAGCAAGATAGCTATAGGATGGGCTGGTCTGGGGCCAGAGCGGGAGGGTGGTCACCACAGTGATTCTGTAGACCCTGCATGATGACGTACAGCAAGAGTCAGGCTGCAGCGGAGTTCTGTACAAAGCACCACCTCCCTCATGGGTCAGTTTCCACAGCAGAAAGATGAAGGAAGTCTTCTCCTGGCAAAGGGAACAGGGATGCCTGCAGCGGGGAGTGCAGCATGCAATGCTCCCAATGCCTTTGTAATCACCCTCCTTTCCCTTTCCTCTGTGCTTCAGCTACTTCCTCCAAGAATGTGAGGAAGAAGCCAAAACTCAAATGTTCACTTTGGAGACTGAGAAGTCCCCAAATGCTGCTCAGGGAAGACAAGAGGCAGTCACTGGACTAATGACTTAACTTCATCTCAGTATAAGTGACCAGAACCCCTTGTTTCCCCAATGAACGGTCTATTAGAGAAAACTAGCAAAGTATACACTTTCCTAAAATAGAAATGTATTCTGTCCAGCAGGTAGGTGTCCTGTGGGACTCAGTGAAGAGCCAGTGCGATGTTCCACAGCCAACCTTTAGCACTGGTTCGGTTTCTGCATAGGAAAAACTCATCTTCCATGGCTCTCAGCACTTGGTGACCCTCAGTCCCCATGGTCAAGGGAGACTCCAGGCCGAGCATCAGCAGTTTAGGCCAGGCCATCCAGAGTTACAGCTTCAGACAAGTGCTTGCTCTTCTAAGACAGGGAACAGGATGATACTTACAATTCTCTACCGACTCCAAAGTAGGAAGCTGGTTACATCCAGGTGTGACTACAGAGACAACCAACACATTCTTCTCAGGTGTATGCCGTTTTCCTGGGAAGACAGGGTAAGCTTGGTGTGGCCAACCTGCCATTAGAAGCAACAAGCAAAACCAAGGCCCTAGTTCTAGTACCCCAGCTCATACGCTTGTGGTAAAGGGAGGATGGCATTTACCCTTGGTGTAGGTACTGCCTGATCATCTGTTCAGCTGTTTCATTCTGGTTGTGCCCCTCTTCTCCTCAGTAGCCGCCCTGACCCATGTCTGAATGCTCTGGGTGACAGCTCTTCTTAACCAGGGCTCTATATTTCTGGCTGCCCTTGGCCTGTACCAAACAAACAATTCCACGACCTCAACAACTGCTTCTGACTGAGAGGCAGCTCTAGAGCATGCTACTCTCAGTGTGGTCTACAGATTAGCTGCCAATGTGCAAACTGTGTTACTGGTTGGTCACTATATAGAAAACTTACATGAAGCCTGAATGTAAATCAATGATGTCAGAGTGAACACACTGTCTAGTTCTAACATTTTTTCATACCAGATTTTCTTTTTTTTTTTTTGTGAGATGGAGTCTCGCTCTGTCGCCCAGGCTGGAGTGCAGTGGCCAGATTTCAGTTTACTACAAGCTCCGCCTCCCGGGTTTACGCCATTCTCCTGCCTCAACCTCCCAAGAAGCTGGACTACAGGCGCCCGCCACCTCGCCCAGCTAGTTTTTTGTATTTTTTAGTAGAGACGGGGTTTCACCGTGTTAGCCAGGATGGTCTCGATCTCCTGACCTTGTGATCCGCCCGTCTCCGCCTCCCAAAGTGCTGGGATTACAGGCTTGAGCCACCGCACCCAGCCAAGATTTTCTCGAAGAAGAGATCAGTTTTACATTCTGGTACATATGCTTCTTATCTCATTGCAGATTGGCATATTAAGTAGTACTGCTCTTGAGGGCTCCAGATGAAGGGTTTCCAGTTTTGCAAAAGCCTAGGAGCTAATGAAGCAGATGACAGAAGGATCTTCCATGCAGAGGAGGCCTGAAATGATGCAACTGATACCTCAGAGAAGGTCAGGGTCACCAGTCCATCTTGCTTCCTTCCTTCCTCTTCTCAAACAGGTTCTCGGTCCAAGGTAGATTTTACCCTAACAGTGAAGGGTCATCCAGTATGAGCCAACGTAGTACCTAATATAGCTTTACAGACCCTTGCCTATGCAGAAAAAATGCCAAGCCAAAATATGAATACACTGTCTCTTCTCACCTCCTATTGGTTCTTCCCTGTGATTTTCAGGATGGCTCTGATGTTATAGCCCCAAGCCTTAACTTAATGAACCCCTCTCTATTCTATTCTTTCCTGGAGAAACATTCATCCCACTGGCAACACAACATCCATGACTTTTTATGGCACTACAATGTCAGAGATAGGATGGCCTGGCAGAAGGCAACAAGAGAGAATTCAGAACCAAATTGGAATCTCAAACGTTACCCATCTCCAGGCAGAGAGAATCCAAGCACTCAGATCATCTCAAGAAAGCCTGCTCAGACCTCTTGAGCACTACCACATGGCTGTATCTCAGCTCTTAGGTCTGCCAAGAAGCAAGCCAATAAGGGGTCCTTTCTTACCATCATGAATAAATACATTCTTTCCTTTATCAGTAAATACCATGGATCCCCACACCAATACCTGCCTCCATTCTGCAAAGAGGAGGGAATCTGAAGCACCTCTGGGCCAGGTCAATTCACAACTCCATTCTCAAACCCTAAAATTACACTGTTACAACACAAAGGACAAGCAGACCTTCAAGGCGAAGACCACACTCAAGGCAGAGTCTGTAGGGCCATCCAAGCAGACAGGCTACAAACCCATCTCCACAGGAGACTCTACAGGGAGACCAATGAGGACTTAACCTAGGAGCAAGGGTGAGGAAAAACTATACCCCATCCTCTGTCTTCTTGTCCCCACTCCCAACCCCACGACATCATGGAGCCCCAATATCATTGTGTGGAGAGCTCATCTGCATATTACCCAGGCAGCCATCCAAAAGACAGCCAAAGTCCTGAGCTTTAGTTCTAATCCACTGGGGCTCAGCATGCCACATAAGGAGAAATCACAACTAATCCACATGCAACTACCATGGCTCGCCGCCCTCATGACAAAACAAGAGAGGCTGCACAAACACCAGGTTTATCTGAACTATTACTTGGAAGACAGAAAAATACCTAATCTTTCTTTTTTTTAAATTTATTTTTCTAAAACACACCTGTACTGCACTCCCTAAATCTGTAGTCTTTTGGAGAGTCACAGACTCCCTCGCAGATCTGCTGAATAGGAAAGCACTTTTTTCCCCCAGAACAATGCCCCTAATTTAAGGGCTGTTTCTCCAGAATTACAATTCTTCCAGTCCCCGCCATCAATCTCATGGTGAAGAATCCCTGTCCGAAGTTCTCTCAGTGACTCATCTGGGTTTGGGCTGAAAGACGTATATACAGGGGCATGGCTGCTGTTTAAACAAATTATGAGAGGGATGTTTGGGGGAGGCAGCAACACGAGAGCTGGCAAAACAGCAGGGACACTATGTCACTGAAAATGATGTAAATAGGGTATCACCACTGTGGTTTTCCGCCTCCAAGGTGCTACTCTGCCTGGCTATGAAGAGGGCAGGAAATAGGCAGGGGACAGTAGTACAGCTGCCTCTATACACACCCGCCCACAACCTGAACACTGAGAAGCACCGATGTGTGGGAAGCACGGTATGGCAAACAGCCCGGTCAGCCAGCAATGTCATGAGCACATGTGCCATGAGTCCAGCTGGGACAGCAGGAAATTGAGAAGCCTCCAGAGCTTAGAAGGCAGCATGAAAAACAGACCAGAGGGCTGGGAAATCAGGACAGGCTGCTTCTGGTTCTGGTTTTGCTGCTGCCAAGCTGAGCAAGTCTCAGGGCTCCCGTTTCCTCCCCTGTAAACAATGGCAGGGTGGGACCAGATTCCAGCTACTTCTCTTCAGATCTAAGACCTTGTGATTCCACAGACAGATAATACACTCCAGGGTCCCATTCCAGGACCACAGCCTCCTACCTCTGCAGCTCACTCGTCTCCCTGCTTTCATGTAGACCTACTCTTCTCTTTGGGTACACTGAAAACTTTGTATCTTTTTAAAAAATCAAAACAGTAGTACAGGCCTGGTGTGGTGGCTCAGGTCCATAATCTCAGCACTTTGGGAGGCTGAGGAGAGCGGATCACTTAAGGTCAGGAGTTAAGAGACCAGCCTGGCCAACACAGTGAAACTTGGTCTCTACTAAAAATACAAACAAATTAGCTGGGCATGGTGGTGCGCCCTGTAATCCCGGCTACTCAGGAGGCTGAGGTAGGAGAATCACTTGAACCCAAGAGACCGGAGGCTGCAGTGAGCAGAGATTGCACCACTGCACTCCAGCCTGGCCAACAGACTGAGACTCTGTCTCAAAAAAAAAAAAAAAAAAAAAAAAAAAATCAAACAGTGCTACCAAACAGTAGAAAATGTTCACAATTTAAAAAAAAAAGTATCTTTGGCACCCTTCCTTAGTCCCCTCAGTAAAGAGATAAACATCACTGGTAGTTTTCTACCCCTGTAGTACCTTGTAGCATAATTTTGCCTTAGCCTTATTCATCACAGACAGGTCATCTCCGGACATGGAATTCTCAGAACAAGGACACTCCTACCACCAAAATCCTACTGTTGAACCTTCTCCAGACTCCAGTACTATGACCCCTCTATTTCCCTTCTGTTCTCAGTCCTCTCTCATCCTTGCTTCCTTCCCTGCTGGCCTATGTGTAGCGATCCATCACCTCAAACACAATCTAGCCAATACTCTCAGCGATCTGTCTCTTTTCTGCTGTCACAACCAATGGGCAAAACTTTCAACCCTGGATCAATCTAACATCTGCCTGCTGTGCCCCTGACCCTGGCTACTGTACCCTATTGGAGGGAAGGGAGAAAAGTCACCAAAGAACAGGATTGGACCACTGCAAAATCATGGTCTCTATCTTGGCTGGGCCTGTGATGCTACCCTGAAAATCTTCTATCTCCACCTTTGCTTCATTCTATTTTCTACACCTTCCTCAAGTCTACTTGATCACCACCTCCCTTATGCTCAGCAGACAATCAGAAGAGAACTTTCAACTATCCCTACCCTCTTCCCCTCTCCCTGCTGACAAAAATATCTGCAACACTCACACCCGCCTGTACCCTTTCCCAGACCTCCACCTTGATGGAAGGGGTTTCCTTTTCCCTGTGCTCTGGAGCTCTTCTCAGTCTCCTCTCGTATAAATTATTTCCCCTTTTCCCAAAGCCTTCAGATTATTTCTTTCAACTCTCATCAGCATTAAAATGTTTGCAATCTTCCTGGTCTCAACTGCATGTCACTTCAAACACTCACTGTTTCTTTTGCCTTCCTGCCACAAAGACACTCTAGAGGAAATGTAGCCTAGGCAGCTAAGGACCTGAACTCCAAAGGAAGACAGATCTGGATCCAAATCTTGGTTCTAACACTTTCTAGCTGCAGGCCTTCCCTAGGCAAGTTATTTACCCTCTCTAAGCTGCAGTTTCCTCAACTGTAAAATGGGGGTCATAATACCTATATAATTGGGCTGCTGGGAAGGTTAAATGAGTTCACACATGTAAAGTGCTTAGCTCAGGGCCTGGCACATGGTAAGTGCTCATGATGTTGGTTATGCTTAGTATTCTCTTCGTAGCTGCTTCCTTACAACCTATCTATTCCTCAATCCACTATAATCTGGCTTCCTTCACCACCACTTCTCTCAAAATGGCTTCACCAAAGTCCTGTGGTTCTGTAACCAAATTCAAGGGACTCTTTTCAATTCATTCATTCATTCGACAATAATTTACTGAATGCTTACTATGTGCCAGGGGACACATAGTAAGTGCTGGGGATACAGCAGTGGTCAAAACAGACAAAAATCCCTGCTGTCAGAGAGCTCATAGAAACCACTCACTCCTTCTGAGACCTCTTGACAGCATCGGACATCCCTGACCTTCTTGAAACTAAACTCCTTTAGCTTAGGGGACAGTGCTCTCTTGGTTTTCCTTCTAACTCCTTGAATATGCT